GTGAATGCCACAAATTCTCCTAAATCACTCGTACGCACAACTTAAGAACAAATCTGTGCGTACGAACGGTTCTTGCATGAGGCCCATTTTATTTAGCTCACTGTTCTTACATTTTGTTAATTTTTGCTAAATGTTAAATTTAAATGTTACATTTAAACATTAAATCCTAAGTCTTAACGTTAAATCTTAAATGTTGCAGCTAAATGCTAAAGTTTCCATTCAAGTATTTTTAGAATGAAACTCAGCTTTTGCACTTGGTGCATGGTTTTTGTTGTGACATCATCATCCCGAGACAAATAACGCTGCTGAAGATGCGATTTAAAATTTAAACTTAAAATGTGTTCATTGAAAACAACATGGATGGTACCCGTGGTCTGGCTGCTCAGACACCAGCCACAGCTGCAAGTTTGATGTCTCGTTGGAAGAGTTAGCAGCATTAGCAGTTGTTCTCGTCGCAGGATGATGATGTCATAACAAAAGCCAAGCACCGACAGCATAAGCATAACCCTAACCCCCTAACCTAGCTTGTTCCATTCTGAAATTCTTAAATGTAATCTACACGCATAAATAAAATATTGGTGGAAATGTTTTAACTAGGATTTTACAAAGTGAGTTAAAATGTGTTAGTGATATTTTTTACATTTTATTTTACTCTTGACGCCTCATATGTGAATTCTGTTGGTTATAACAAGCAAACGTTACATTTTCAAACTTTATTCATTTCTTAAAAAACAAACTTAATTCTATGTACAATAATATAAAAGAAAATACAAATAAAATTAAATGAAAGGCAACAGAGAGAAGAAAAAAAATCTTATAAATGTGCTTCAGGTCTGCAGAACGTAATGTAGTTTTCCTATAATATTAAATGTTTTGAATGGAAAAAAAACCACCCAGCTGTAGCAGGAGTGGCACAGGAAGTCTGTTTCTTATAAGGAGGAGGTTTCTGTAAAAGTAAATTCAGGTGAAAACGCAACGAAGGGCTGAACATGTGTCGTCACTCCTGACTTTTAGTTTCCTCATCAGTGGTCAGGATATATCAGCACAACCGCAAGACGTGTTGGATAAGTAAATGTTCTTCTTTTATGTTTAACTGAAAATGACATCACCTTTTAACTGAAGGTCAGGTGAACTCTTCAACCACCAACAAGATCTGAAATCATCCGAACATAAGTGTTTTACGCTGAGACAAACCATGAGTAAACTCTGCTCAGAGGGTGAAAAATAGACCTTGGATGATCTCCACCTTACTCTCAGAACTACTTTAGTAAATAAAATAAAAAAAAATTATATTTACTTCTTGGTCTGATTTGTTACGACTGCATCTAAGCATGTAAGGTAATAAAAAAATTGCACTTTTGTGACCTTGTCAAGCTGAGTGTCTGACTTAACCATAGGAAAATAAACCTCTGCTCTGTTGATCACATGGCAGCATAAGAACTACTTTAAACATCACCTGGGGAAAAAAATAGGTTTTGTTTTTTTTAACAAACTGCACTGCCATTTGATTACATAGAGGGGGACTGAGCCTTTAACTTTTATTTTGGAAACAAGTCAATAAAATTACACACGTTGGAAAATATTTAAACATAAAGCAGGTAAAAACTATGTCAATCAGCATCTGGAAAAAAAACTGAGGTTTTATTTTTAATGAGGGCAATGTGGCCTTTCTTTTAAGGAAGGGGTGGAGCCTAAAACCTTTCTTTTAGTTAAACAGGAAATAAGTAATTAAATGAGTGTTAAAAAACTGAATATTTGAACACACAGAAGAACAACTACTTTCATCTGAAGTGTGTTTTTACTTTTAAGGAGGGCAATGTCCTATTTGTTTACATGGAGTGGGCGGAGCCTGATGCTGCTCTGAGGCACCTATATTTACATTTTTGATTGCTGCAGGAGGTCATTCCCAAATCCGAGTTCAGGCTTTGAGTCAGTGCCATATCAATTCAGTTAGTTTTAAAGACTTATCTGCAGCAGGTAAGATATTGATTCACAGGTTTGTCACAGAACCTCACTTCAAAAGCTTTAAACTCCTCCTAAAAAAAAAAAAAAAGGCTTTTGCTTCAAGCCGCCGCGGGGCAGAGCAGCAGGCTGCCTGTAATAAACTCATAGCTGCATCATCTCGGCGCGCGCACAGGTGAGTGTTTGGTCCGCGTGACTCAGCGCAGAGACGCTCTGTTCCAAACTTTCAAAACACTTGCGCGTGGAGCTCCGGGCTGACATTACAACAGCGGCAGGCTTTAAAAGCCCCCCAGCCCAGCCCCCCCTGCTAAAGACAGGCACCAGCCTCCGAGTCGACGTTCATCTCCGGCGGCATCTTGGTGCTCTGACCGAGGCTGAGGACGCTCCAAGCGGACACAAAATGGACTTACGTTACCCCAAGAACACCAGCATTAAGGTAAGCCTTATTAT